AATCACGAAGTTCACCGCTGGAAGCAAATAACGGACAACATGATCCGCTTAATTAACATCTGCGTTGTATCCCCTTGCGCTTCTCTTCCTCTCTGAGTTAACGTTGGCAGAGGCAAAAATGAGATGCGACCGGCAAGTAAAAGGCGAATGGAACGCACCGATACTCGAACATCAGCTGCACAGCGGCGAAGAAGCAAACGGCAACAGCAGCCAGGAACCGCAACCCTGCAAAATCAGTGATACACAAGAATGGTCAGAGGTGCGCGCACCTTCTGTGGTACCAAACAGCTGCTCGACGAAGAAACGCACTCCGTCAGGGCCGATGACAAACCCGACTAGGTTCGCCGCCAACAACATAAGCATGTTGAGAACCCCGCCGACGGCACAGACATGTCGGTACCAGGGTTTGACGCCGTACTGTGAGTGTCAGTGTTATGGTTGGGGGTGCTGATACTCGGAGTAGGTACCTTGGATTCCGGCAGAAGATACTGGGCGATTAACTCAGGCGCGACAAACAGGCTAGCGAGCCACCCCCACGCCAACAGCCGGAACGTGAGATCGTGCCACAGCGCGACGAAGGTGAACACCAATAAAGTGTTTAGCCCAACATTCTTGGCTCCGCCGAGAGGGATGTATATGTAACTGAAAAGAGAAATTTGTAAGAGAATCCAAGCACGGCTGAGTCAAGCAAGTTACCGCGAGAGCCACAGATTATAGCTCCGGTGCCAACTTCGCCAGAATCCCAGGGTAGAGTAATTGTTGGCGGGGCAGCGCACCATATTTTCCGGCGCATCGATTCCGTCGACCATCGCCCAGAGACGGAAGAAACGCCAGATAATGAGGAGCTAAAGGGCGGTCAGCGGTATGCGTTCGAATAAATAGGGAAAAAGTCGCCTTGAGCCAGACGATCATGAGATTCCAGACTCCAATCATTCCAATTTGAGCCGGGGTGCTGCCCAGCCACGCTTGAGTGTTCTTCATGGCGACGACATACATGAAATGCAGGATGAATTCCATCGTGAGCAACGATATCAGAAACCGGATGGAATAGCCAAGGACAACGGAGCGCGAGATTGATAGCGGATGGCGATGCTATATAAGACATTCTGTATAATGCATACATGCACATTGCCAGGGAAGACTGACCTGCCAGATGTAGTCATTAAACGTCATGACGGGCCCCGCGAGATAGAGCGGCGGATAGAGCACATATGAGATGTAGTTGGGGTACGAATACATCCTCTCCGGGTGAGCCATTGTTTGGCGCTGCTTCTCGTTGAGAGTGGAGGAATTCTGTTGTGCATGAGCATGGTCAGCGGAATCTCACTGAAAAGAACATACGGTATGATCCAAATCACCAGCCATATTGCATGCCCAATAATAATCCATGCTAAATGACACCAGTCGAAGCATCGTGATATTGAAGCCGATATGCCAGCGCGGATATAAGCCTTTAAATGTGTCCTGGTGTAGTGTCAGTAACGAGAAAAAGTTCGCCGGTGAAACAAACCAGATGGGAGAGTGAAGGCGCGATATCGCGGAAATTGTATCCACTATACCGATCATTTAGGAAAAGAATTGACACATTGAAGATCCAGCTCATGAGGGGCCCGAATCTTGAACCACCCCATGACTTGGAGATCAAGTAGTTGATGGTGAGGATGGGTAATATTTTGAGGGCACTCGAGCCGTGCAATGCAATAAGCATTACGACAGAGGCACCTAAGTTGAAAGGAATGAGGTACATGTTGTCTCGCGCATTCGGCGAAAGTCGGGTACGCCCAAATTTGGCCAGAAGATAGGCGCCTGCGGCGAGCGTCAGCGGGATAAAATTGCTTCGAAAACCTCGGTATTGCGCGTCACTATTGTCCTGTATAGGTCCACAAATCAACTTATCGTCGACGTCGCATAGGCAGCCAGCGTACCACCGAGCGGCCGGCTATCCAGCCTCGAGAAAGTTTAGATTGGAACCTGGGGTAATTCGGATTCGTCGCTGCGTGATTTGAGTCGGAAAACAATATCATTATGACCGCCAACGCACAGGAACTCAGGGCGATGGGTATCCAGGCCATTATAAGCACAACAATAAAAACAGAGATAGAATAGAATCTAAATTCTGCGGTTTTCCATCTAGAGGGTTTCCCAGGGTCTTGCAAGACTCCTCTCGGATGGGATGAGGCAGGAATATCGACGGTGAGATCGACTAAACGCATTGTGCGCTTCGATTGGCTGAAAAGGTGATAAAGAGAATGTGATGGTCCAGGTCATAAACGATCCGCAGGTCAAAGTGGATGAAAGTCCAGGGTTAGCTTGGAAGTGGAGGTGTATTGAAGGCGAGTGCGTGGCAAGAGAACCGGAGGTAAGGGTAAAGAGCAAGCCGGAAGATCACATCAGTCGCCGGCAGCGGTGACCGGCGTCGCCTTGACGTCGCCGCACGTCGCCGAGATCTAAAAAACCTGATTTCGGACCGACCTCGCCTCAGCAACCAGTCGGAGGAGATTCCCTAATTATAAACGGGACCGGCCGTGTACCTACCCGGCTTCTAGTATAGCGCCCGATCACCCACCTTTTGGCGCCATCTATACTACAAAAAAAAAGGGAAGGCATAGTCTCTCGTAGACAGACGTTACAACAGAAGTAGCTCGTACCTCGCATGTTGTAGTCTGTTGAGTGCCTTGATCAGTTGATTGGAGGTTAGCCTTATTATGTAATCTTGAATTTCTCGGACATAGAAATGAGGGTTAGAGCGCGTTGTTCGTCGATTTTCTTGGGGATTATTCACCCGACCACGAGAACCAGCAACTTTCACACTCAAATTTTCCCAGGTGATCCCAAAACCGTGAGGCCGGATTTTGATGTGAACCGGCCGGTAACAACTTTGCACCTCAACGACCTCTGTAACAGGAATTCTGAGGGCACAAATTGCTTTGTTTTGGAATTCTAAGGGATTTGGCCTCTTCATATATAGCCTGTATTGCCGCCATGCAGGAGGAAAGCCTCGTCGATAATTCAAAGTCCGACGATTATGTAATAAGGTCGAGCTCCCTACATCAGGCACGCGGTAAACTACAGACTAGGGAAGGCATGGGAACCAAAATGTCAAGAGACATTAGAGTGTTTCACAATTGGATTTTGGGGCACGAAAATCGAAGTTGGATGTCAAATTGAGGGTATGACCTCGACTTGACATCCAACTTTGCCCCAACTTCTGCCCCAACTTGAGTCCCAACTTCGCTTGCAGCACAAGATATGATCCCCAAACCTCAACTCTGCCTCAACTCTGAGAAAACATCTGCTCAGGTGGTTCACAATTGAGACCCCAACTTGTGCCCCAACTTGGCCCGAGTTGAGGTCAAGTTGGGGTCGGAGTTGAGGCACGAGTTGGGCCCCAAAATCCAATTGTGAAACACCCTATTTTTGATTGGCTGCCGACTGCAAGGCCTTTCCCCAGCCTCTGCCGCTGCTTCCCGCTGCTTCCGGCCTATGCTTCCTATTCTGGGGCATGCTGAGAACCATGTTAGTACACTTGAACATTGCCGGTAGTCCCTGTTAGGGCCCAGACTTTGAATTGCACTCAGATAGTCAAGTGCAGACCTAGGAAACTGGTGGAAAACCAGAAAAATTGAGTATCTCTTTAAGAGACATCTAAATCCATCTTGCAAGCCTGAAGGGGGCCACAAGGAGCCGATCGAAGATTGGCGATGAGTGGCGCAGAGCTAGCGGAAAATTGAAATCCGAAATCCAGGTACTAGATTATTTTCAAAGGCCAACAGTAATAATTCTCTGGTTCTGACAGTGCAAGATAGCCCCCCATGGCATAGCACAGGTCACTGCTAGTCACGTCCAAATCACGTTGTCAACTATTTTAAATTTTCTGTATCCTCCACAAAATCCTCCGGGCCGGGTGGTTTGCCCCTGATTGCTGCCACTGTACTCGTAACCATGCTGACTCCGATTTCTCAACCACATGGAGAGAAAGTTGAAGAAATCTCTTTGCTCATGGAAGAAAAACTAGCCCACGAGACAGGTCAACTTACTGTGGTACTTTGGGCTACCCATTTTTCATATCATAACTCTACACTTACCATGCACACAGTCTTATCCAATTGCAACCTTTAAGCAACAGACAAGAACAATCTACTCACACAAATTCAGTCTGTCCTCTACACCAAACGAGCCTTATCAAATAATAACGGGCTGTGTCACTTGTCGGGCCTACCCACTTTATCACTTCAAACTTGGCTCAAAATCAAATATGAAGTCATTCTCTTGGGACACAAAGGAGCTCACCTTGACACAACACCGGAAACATTACTCGGGATTGGGAATCGGAGCTGCCTGGATGGCAACACCAGCAGAAGCAACTACATGAGAGGTAGCCTCAACAGGAGGGACCTCAATGCAGAATACCAGGGGTTACAGCATGTATTATAATCCAGGACCGGAGGAGCTTCAATTACAGATGCTGAAGTGACACGGGCGAGGATGATGAAGAGATGTAGCATAGCTGGATAGTGCAGGAATTCTGAAGGAGTTTCACTGCACAGCTCTGGGAAAGCCTTTTATGTGATGGCCAGAGGAAGGACCTCAGGCTTTTGTAATCATGTGACCAGAATTTGGCCAGGGAATGGAATCTCATAATTTACCCTATGTGCAATGTAAAGGGGTTTAGTTGAAACCAGAAAGGAGTTAAAATGAAACATGTTGGGACAATCACCGGTTAATGGGCTCCCATGATCGCAGTTTGATTTGGCTTCAGGATTTGAAAAGCCAAATTATGACAGGTTCGTTGTTTATCTGACAGCCTCCTCCCAACCAAACCAACCTGGAATGACCTGCTTCTTTGAGCTGGATGATAGCTAAAACATCATGCCCCCCTCCCCCCTAAGTAATAAATAAAATGATTGACAACTGAACCCCCAATTTCACGTGCTGGCTTGTTTTTTCTCCTGTACCTCTTTCGCTGTGATCTGATCTATCTCTCTCTCGAGTATGATATGTCCGAATTGGTGTAGGGGTTAACATTGCCGCTTCTCACGTCAGCGATTATGTAATGCGTTCGCGGCAGCCCGGGGTTCGATTCCCCGATTCGGAATCACTTTTTCCCTTTCATTTCTTTCGCCCCTCTACTACTTAATACTTACTGGCTCGCGATGTGCGGAAGCCCCGGTACCGCCCGAATCATGTATCCACTTCTCTCAAGTCTCCCGTGGCAAGTTGCTCACAGCACTTGTTTCTTTATTTATTATCCAATAAAACCTTTTATTCTGGTGCATCTTTGTCATGTTCCCTGTCTGCAATGCTGACATTATAATACTGTACTTTCACTACTTTGGTTGGCTGGAGCTGTTTGACCTTCCTGCTTTTTCTCGGCTCGCTCAGTATGCTTCAAATATACTGAGCATATACGGCCTCCATATTTTGCAGGTATATTCTAGGGATATTTGTAAAATACTGAGCATATACAGGCCCTGTATATTGCTTTGTCCCCAGTGTTAGGAGGGAGTGCATCTTCAAATACAATGGCTTGAAGAAAATCAGATTGTATATACAAGACAACGAGGACTTGGATAGTTTTATCTACAACAATAATAGCACTGCTAGTGGGATGTGTAAACATACACCTGTGGTGCTAAAGATCGGGATAGGCAGCTGGGATCGTGAAAAAATCCAACACATCTCTGGAGACCTCTGGGAGATTAATTCAAACATTGTTCTTGAGATCTGTCCACCTAGGAAGACCAAAGAGCAAGGGCAACATGTCCCAGAACTTCAGGGACCCTTCATTAAATTAAATTTTCATAACTACCTGGCAATGGACACAGAACCCTCATGCAAAGTGCTGTCCCACCTCATCATTTTAAAATGGTAGATGGGGACGAAAAATCCACAGGTACTGCTAGGTAATAGCCCTAATGGGCAGTGCCTGGATACCCTGGTTACCATTGACTTTGTTCTTTTTTAACTGATAATAAAATATGTATTATTGACATGATAGCCTAAGCTCTACCAAAAGTTGAACTGAACAAGGATGAAAGCCTCACCAACAAATGTGACAACTGTGTAAACCCACTACACAATTTATGCACATCATCGCACTCACATGATGCTTATGTACACTCTGTTGCTTGCTTCTTACCACCACTACTCGTATATGAACACTCTTCAATATACCTCAGTCTATTTGCTCTTGACCCCGGACTTAGTGTTGCTCTCCCTTGGTTCACCTTTTTAGCAAATCCAACTGTAGTATTGTCCTCAAGTGAGATCAGGATCCATGATAGATCTCTGATCGTGTTTTGCCTCCGTCCCTTGCCTTGCCCACCCCGTGCCACCCCATTGAGGAGCAAAAATCATCCACACTGTCCTCCCAGTGGTGTTTCCGCTCATCACAACAACCAGGACTCATTGTAGACCTTTTTCAGACTGCCACATCACCCTTTTGCACTGCCACCTTCAAGCTCAAACTGTCTCGTAACCCAAAGACACTGGTTCCCTCACCAACTGCAGCACAGCAGGGAAGACCATGACCTCTACCACCTCCACCATGCTGCCCTCCACCTCCAATGCTCTGACAATGCTGCCCACCATCAAAGATGAGTTGACATCCCCCCTCATGCCAATAGGCATGACACCCACCCTTACTCCCCAAGGCCCACAGGCCCCTTCCCTCGCTGTCCACTTGCAGACACCATCCCCACCCCCTCACACCACATGCCACATTGTTGATTCCAATTCCGATTCAGACTCAGACTCCTCCCCTCCCTATTGCATAATGTCCTCTGATTCCAAGAACACCTATGTGATCACACACACCAACTATCTACCCTTGTTCAAACCTGGCGAGATTACCGCACTCGCCACCAACGACTTTGAGAACATCTGCCTTAACTATTTCAGCGCCAAGGAAACAGCTCCCGACTGCCAAGTCAGAACCGTCCTCGGTTGCTTCCAGGACAAGGCAGTCAAGAATTGGCTCCATGTTGACTGTTCCCATTACACTAAAATGATGTTCAATGATTTTATGGGTGAGTTCCACAAAAAGCTCCTCCATGCTGACTGGGAATAGGAAACTTGTACCAAGCTCATCTCTTCACGCATGAAGAAGGACCAAACCTTCAAGGCATGGACCACTGACCTCAAGGCACTGAACACCCTCCTCATCCCCTCCAAGGCCAACTTCAATGACACCCACCTTCACCATGTCACCAAGGCAGGCATGCACCCCACCCTCTATTGTCACTACTCTAATGACAAAACCACCACCACACTCACCGCTGACGAGTACAAAGCCTGGAAGCAGGCCGTCATCATCATTGACGAGATGCACATTTCCAGCACGAGGAACAGCAGAAAGTGATTGCATCCAAGCTTGCCAAGGCCAAGCGCAAGGCCAAGGACGAGGGTGAACACAATAGCTCATCCAAGAAGCCCTTTGAAAAATCACATAAGGCCAACATGAAGCCCAGTTCATCGGCATCTGCATCTTCCTTGTCCAGAGCTTGGAAACCTGGACTCAACCAGGAAACACTAACAGTCAAATGGACTCCGAATAAGACTCTTGTTTATTCCAAGAAGCAAGAAGGGTACAAGAAAGCAAAGTGATGCTGATGGTACGAGAGAGAGTGAGAAGAGTGATGGTAACATCACGAAAATGTCAGTAAATAGTAGTAAATACTTGACAGGTTTACACCCCTCCCCTCTTCAGAAAATGACTGTGTCCTTGCCAAATCAACAGAGAGAGAAAGGAAAGGTCAATAAGTAAATCGTAGAAATGTGTGCCTAGTGTATATTGTGGTTTTAAGGCTGGGCCACTGTGGACATACACACTGACTGCTGGTAGAAGGTTAAGGTTTGCCATGGCACTGCAGTGTCCTTCAAGGTGATCCAATCATCGAGAGCTTGAGCTTCTGCAAGTTCGCATCCTGGGAGCCAGCACTTGTCCTCGGTTCCATGTCCACACCAGCATACGAGGTATTGTCAACTGCAGCCGCATTTGTGTTCATCTATAATTTCAGAAATTTCCCACTCCTCACCTAGTCTGTCATGACAGGTCCAGGCCGAGGGAGTTTGCGTTCCAGGAACAGTTCCGAGTCATTCTCAATATAAGGCTCGACCTCGGAGGTGTGGAAAACCGGGAAAACAAGTGGGTCGTTCAGTATATCAAGTGTGACAGTCGAACATTCCTTGTGTATGCCAGTGATTGTGAAAGGGCTGTTGAATCACAGCATGTATCTTGCAACACAAAGCTCACCTTTCTTGCCAGCCCAGATGTAGGAGCCTCTGTGATTAGCCGTGGAAAGTTTGACGTGCTGGCCAATTTTGTAATCCGGGTCAGGTGCATGTGTTTTGTTTGCTTATTCAGCTTGGCTGAATTTCATGGCCAGAAGGTTATCCTGCACATCAGTGAGATCGAGTTTGAGCTGATCAATGATCTCAGTTCTGAGTTTGTCTGCAGGTAACTTCGGTTTTGAAGCGGTGTTGACGAGCGGTGGGATGAGACACGGGGAGTGGCCGGTGCACAGTTGGAAGGGGGAATATCCCGTAGATTTGTTAACTGTATTCATTATGCTGAAATGAATGCAAGGAAGTGCACACATCCAACCGGTTTGGTTGCATGCAACATGGTAGCAAATGCACTGGTTGAGAGTATTGTTTGTGTGTTCGCTCGAACCGTCCGTTTTGGGATGGTAAGAAGCGGATAATTTGAGTTTCATGCCAGTGACTTTGTGAAGCGCTTTCCAGAATGCGGACACAAAGAATTTATCTCTATCCGAGACGATGTCAAGCAGGAGACTGTTTTTGCAGAATCATTTTTCGAAGAATATTAAGGTGAATGTCGCAAATTTCTTTTTTGGCATATATTGCTATATAGCTTGTGATATTGTGCTATAAGGCCATCAGGTCCCCAGGCCCCATATAATGTGCTAACTAATGTACTTTAGAGCGCTATCAGACGCTATCATGTCTGACCGACCATATCTGGCTGACAGCGCAAAATCCAGAATATGGGACCTGACAAGACTGGATGCGAGAGAGGAGGTGCGGCAACGAAAATCAAAAGGATGGGTCCCTTCATGTTGAAGGGGCTCTAATACATTAACTACTTAGACTGGGTTATTTAGCTAGTGAGTCAGTAAACCTAGTATAATCAGTGCTTGAAGTGAGGATTGAACACGCGACCTTGTAGGTGCAAGTAAAACAGAGGGTGTTACCATTCTGCGAAGGAAGACATATAAAATTTGCAATTTGGTGGGTCAGATGGGCAAGTCATTTTCAGCGCAACACCGAGAATATATCATATTGACTTCCTCTGGCGCATGTAAAATCTATGAATTATTACTCATCAGTTTGGGGTTCCGCCGGTGCCTCCTCTTCATCTGCATCAAGCATATCCATCACATCTTTCATCGTCTGATCCTCATGATCCTTGTCATCGTTGTTGCAAGCGAGGCTCGTCTCCGAGTTGGGGAAAAAAAGCTTGTCCCACTCACGGAAGAGCTTGAGAACGGAGGCCTTGTGCCTGTCCAGCCCATTTTGAAGATACTGGATACATTTTTCAAGGTCCGCATGCCAGTTGATGCCCATCTGCACCCCTTGCACAGTTAGAGTTGTGTCAGCAGACACCGCCCAACTGCCTATGGCAATTCAATGAAAGGCATAATCAGGAAGGGAATAAATGTATGAATATTGCAGTGCCACCGATCGAGCCGGGTGTGCAGTGATCGAGAGCCCAAAGGTGGGAGACAGTTTGCCCCGTTGCCTGGTTGGGTTTGCCAGTTTTTTTGATTGCGGTGACCGCCTTCGCTCCACATTTAATCGCGGCAAACACCTGTATACACTGGTCAATAAAGCACATTTATGGCCACCAAATAAACTTGCCAGGTGAAGCATTGGCCCGCAGAACACCGTTTCGATGTTGAACGATCCGTTATAGTTCTTGTGAAGTGACGGGACGTTGAACCGATCATAACGCGCTGATCTGTTGTCGCGCTCGACGTAGCCTATCATCTGGCAGAATTTATCTCTGCGAGACTCAATGCTGAAAAGGTTGATTGCCATGCAGTCAAAGATCTCCGGCCTGCACTGGCTGCG